TGAGGAACCTTCTATTTTGATATCTGATGTTTGTGAGACCAACATTGGTTATAATGGCTGATTCCAGGTGTGAGAGGCTGTGAGCTGTAATACAGATATTAAAAAATGTGTTTGATAGGTTTTTGTATGGAAGTCTAGTGATGTGCACTACTGTGGTAACTAGCAGCACAGAAGTACACTCCACTGCTGTTCAGTTTGGTTTCCTTAATTGTTAATGTGCAGTTCTTGCCTTGACTTGCACTCCCTTCCATCACCACATTCAGTCCAGCCTCTGGATTACCTCATGTTAAAAGCATGTATCCCAGCAATTCCAATTGTTTCTTTGACTGTTTGTACCAGAGGATTTGGTTATAGCTTGAAATATTATGCGAGCAGGAGATTTTAGCATCTTCTCCATTTGTGTAAATATCAGCTGGAGTCTGGTAGACTTTGTCGCTGTAAGAGGAACCTGTTGGACAGATATCAACCAAAAGAGACAATTCATTAACTTCAAAATTCAATTTATATCCTGTTATATTTCTAATACTCTTTAATTCTGGCTTAAATATATTCAGCACAATTAAGCTGTTACCTGAAACTAGAATACAGTTTAAATGAAAGCTCAGGAGTAGAATGATCACGATCATCATCTCGCTATGAAAGGTGTTGTATGGTTAAAGTAAGACTAAATCTGCTTTAGAGCAAACAGTCTTTCAGTGGGTGGAGCTTATTATTAGAACTGTCATGGTGTCAGCCTTGTTCAATTTACAAGTCTTTGCAATGATATACTGGAGCGCCATGACAGGAAATGTTACAGGTGCACAGGGCTGTGAACTCTGAGAAGAAGAGATGAAAACTGATGATTGGGAGGTTTATGTATTGGGGAGCAGTGATACATCGCACTGTGTGACTAGCAGCACAGAAGTAAACTGCACTACTGTTCACAATGAGTCCTTTAATTGTTAGAGTGCAGGTACTGCCTTGAATTGCACTCCCACTTATTTCCACAGTGGCACCAGTCTCTGGATATCCATCATTCACATTCATGTATCCCAGGAACTGCATCTGATCGTTCCTTGATTGCTTGTACCAGAGGATTTTATCATAGTGCTGAACGCTGTGAGAGCAGCTGATTTTAGCTGTTTCTTCAGCTCTGTAGTATATTTCTGCAGGATCCTGCTGGACTTGGTTATGGAGAGAAGAACCTGTAAGATGATTCATACAAAAAATATTTTCAGGACAGGAGTTTAAGACAAGAACAACTATTTTTTTCATTACATAAAATACAGTTCTTGAATCACTGGTACTCATAAACACATTATCCATTTGAAATATAAGGAACACTTAAGAATTTATTACCTGAAACCAGAATAACGTCAAAGCTTAGAAAGAAAAAAAATATCATGATGCTGCGTTTTCTGACTAGACTAAACATCAGTCTGTATAATGTTTCTGTAACAGTGTATACTGTCTCCTTATAGCTCCTCCCAACAAGGAAGTAGCACAACCTTTAAGATGGGCTGTATGGCCTAGTACTTCCTCCACTTCTTGACACTAACCAATCAACTACCACTGCACACCACATTTAGAATTGTGGATAATAACTGTTGCGGGTATTAATGACTGTTTAAGCTCCAAAGTAATCATACTTCTCGGTAGCTGAGCAACTTACAAACATGCATATGACTGCAGCCAGTTTAGACTGCTGGGTTGAAAGTGATACACAAGTGTTACATGTTGATATGATTGCAATCAGACTTTTATTGACCCCTGTCCCATTATAAAGGTCTACCTATAGATATCCTGTCACTATGTCAAAGATAGTTCAAAGCTTCTTACAACTGCATGACTATCTGATATGACTAGTAACTCTCCTACTCTGTGCTAAAGACCAACACAAAAATACACTGCACTTATTTGCATTTCCATTCATCTTGACATCAACTTCACCCTCTGGAATTCACGACTTCTAATACATATTAAAGAAAGATTTGGCTACTTGGACATGAACCTGTGAGAAATGACAAAAAACCCTTTTTTAAAGATCACAATAACAATGGAAGCACAACTCAGTGCAAGGCTGGGATGTTAAGAGGCTTGTGAGTTCATTATCATTGTTTTAAGACATGTATCTTATAAACTCTTATAAAGCCCTTTCTTTGTCTGCTTAAAACAGCATTTGGTTATAAGATCCGAAGGCTACATGAGCAGTAGATTTTTGAGCATTAAGAGCAACCTTGTTTGTGTCAACGAAACAAAAAACAGTGAAACAATAAAGAAATGTTCATCTGAACCCCAAAGATGAGAGCTGATTCAACTGAGAATCAGTCAAGTTTATTGTGTTTACATCTTTTTAGGTGCTGATTATATCGACCTCTGTAAAAACAGATACAA